TGGAGACCACGGCCGAAGAGCCCGAAAAACCCACAACAACCATTAGATCCCAGCCGTGAAAGCCTTCGTGAATACCTCTTATTTGTGTAACTTTACTTTCCTTCCCAGGCTTCTCATTTGTTACTTCATTTTATTTCTTGAATGGCCGTATGATGAACTGGACAGGATTACCTGCATAGATCTCATCATTCTACAGTAGTCCCTTTCTGAGTCAGTAGCTCAGTGTAGACAGTGCATAGTTAGAGGGAGGAATTTAAGGTTTCTGCCGTCTTTCAGCCCTCTTATTCCTTGTTCTTTCTTTCTTTCTTTTTCTGCAGCTTTGCTACCCCAAGGAAAGAAAATGTGGTAGGAACTTTGTATGGGAGTGGTTAGATCTGGAATATTAATGTGACAGTTCAATACAGGAGGAATTTTTCTGCAGTCTTTCAGCCCTCTTATTCCTTGTAGTTAAATGCATTCTTTCTTTTTCTGCAGCTTTGCTACCCCAAGGAAAGAAAATGTGGTAGGAACTTTGTATGGGAGTGGTTAGATCTGGAATATTAATGTGACAGTTCAATACAATGTGAAGCAAACTAATTTGTAGTTTGTCATATTTTGATGTTTTTTTTAAAGGTGCATGAGCGTACCAAAGAGATGGATTTTTTATTGCTGGTCATTCGTAAACTGCTGCACACTAATTCAAGATTTGTCAAGGTAAATTCAAGCTATTAATTAGCTCCTTTGTGAAAATATGAGACTGGGTTATTGTAATTCAGTACTATAAGCGCAAAGCCCGATATTCACATAGTAGAAGATGTGTTAGCTTTTTCCTAGCATGATGGTAGATGCTCCACATAATAGCCTTTGGGACTTTCATGGTGGTGGTAGCGGCATAAAATTTGATGGTAACCGTGCAGAGACGAAAAACAGTTGTATAAAGAACTTGTGGAATACGTTGCTCTCTCTCTCTCTCTCTCGATATTCACATAGTAGATGTGTTAGCTTTTTCCTAGTATGATGGTAGATGCTCCACATAATAGCCTTTAGGACTTTCATGGTGGTGGTGGTGGCGGCATAAAATTTGATGGTAACCATGCAGAGACAAAAAACAGTTGTATAAAGAACTTGTGGAATACGTTGCTCTCTCTCCCCCCCTCTACTCACTCACACACACACACAGAGAGAGAGAGAGAGAGAGAGAGAGAATGGATAGAAATGTAGTAAACTGATATTTATCAGTAAAGACCATCTTACACTACTTCCTACTAGTAAACAGATATTTATCAGTAAAGGCCATCTTAAACTACTTGCAAAGACCATCTTAAAGTACTTGCTACTGAAAGGACAGACCTATACTGTGTTTGACACTTGATGGAATAAAAAAAGAATCAATGGGATGGGGTATAGGGGGAAATAGCATGATGGGGAAGCAGTGTCCATAGAATCATAGAATAATTGAGTTGGAAGAGCCCTACGTATCAGGCCATAGAGTCCAATCCCCTGCTTAGTGCAGGAATCCAAATAAAAGCAGATCTGACCCCCCTCTACTCACTCACACACACACACAGAGAGAGAGAGAGAGAGAGAGAGAATGGATAGAAATGTAGTAAACTGATATTTATCAGTAAAGACCATCTTAAACTACTTCCTACTGAAAGAGGACAGACCTATACTGTGTTTGATGGAATAAAAAAAGAATCAATGGGATGGGGTATAGGGGGAAATAGCATGATGGGGAAGCAGTGTCCATAGAATCATAGAATAATTGAGTTGGAAGAGCCCTACGTATAAGGCCATAGAGTCCAATCCCCTGCTTAGTGCAGGAATCCAAATAAAAGCAGATCTGACAGATGGCTGTCCAGTTTTATCTTGAATGCCTCCAGTGTTGGAGTGCTCACAACCTCCCGAGGTCACTGGTTCCATTGTTGTACTTCTCTAACAGTTAAGAAGATTTTCCTAATACCCAGCCTAAATCTGGTTGTTGTTTGTTACAGCACATGTCTTCCAAGTAAAGTGGAGGTCATGCACTGTACTGCATGTACTGTACTGCAGCTAAAACTGTGCTCACGACCTGGGGTTCAAATCCCAGGTAGCCCTCATGCACTGAATGAGTTGGTGCCCTCCTACCTTACTTCAAGGTAGCTTTTGTCTTGAAATAGCTTTGCTTGCAAGTATAGTTGTGCCTCGACTTACGAACTTTATCCGTATTGGAATGGTGTTCTTAATCCAAAATGTTCGTAAGTCGAAGCACCATTTCCCCTAGGAATGCATTGAAAAGTTGGTGCCCTACTACCTTACTTCAAGGTACCTTTTGTCTTGAAATGGCTTTGCTTGCAAGTACAGTTGTGCCTCGACTCACGAACTTAATCCGTATTGGAAGAGAGAAAAGAACACACCAAGCCTGGTCAGAAGGCGCTCTTGCTGAGGTTTAAGAAGAAGAAAAAAAACTTCCAAAAACAAACACTAAAGCCACCTCCATTGCTGAGGTTTAAGAAGAAGAAAAATAATTCCAAAAATAAAAAGCAAAGCCACCAACAACACAGTACAGAAACATACATGCCCCAGCCAAAACCGACCCAGAACAGTTTTTTAAAAGGAGAAAACAGCAGCTTACTTCTCTGCGGACACACACACACACAGAGCTCACTCTGAAGCAGAAGGAGGCAGCCCCAAGCCTCCGACAACAACGACACACTCTCTAACTGCCCAAAGTGAAAGTACAAAGCAGCCTCGTTGCCACCTACAGTTAGAAATCTGAATTGCCCGCCTTTTTTCCCTGCCTGTTTCTGTTCGTAAGTGGAAGCTCCGTTTGCAAGTTGAAGCAAAATGTTGCAACCGGAACTGTTTGTAAGTCAAAATGTTCGTAAGTAGGGATGTTTGTAAGTCGAGGTACCACTGTAGAAGTTTCCTGGTTCAATTTGGAGAGACATTGCTAGTCACTATAGAGTGGCCTCTCCAGTGAGATACATTCTGGGTTGCAGTTCTTGTCACTCCAGTTATTGATTGAATAGGTGAATGTTACAATCCACAAATTGGGAGGGTATAATATTGGGGAACCACTAGTGACAGTTTTCAGCTGGATGGATAGTGGTTTGATCTAATACAAAACACCTTCATATGTTTTAGGGAGGGTACTAAATGCAATAAAATTGAAAAGCAATATTATAATTTGGCCTTTGGTTGTAAAGATTCCAGGTTGGCTTGGAACATTCTCCTTTGCCAAGTAGACTTGTTTTTACACTAAAGGACACATTAATTTGGCATATTGTGTTGTTTCCAGGGAGTTGAACAGTAATGTCCTGAGAAATCTGGTTATCTTTAAAATAATCAAAACTTTCTGGGCCTTTTTTTTCTGCTCGCCATCCCCACTTCTTCCTCGTCCTTGCTCTCTACTTTTGTCACTGCCCCCTGCTTCCAACCACCACTCTTCCTCCTGCTGAAAAGGACATCACAGCTGAATCAAGTCTGTTTCAGGCATTCAAGGAAATGCTGCTGTGATTGGCCTGAAGCAATCTCTGCACATCCGTGGAGGAGTGTTTCAGCTTCAGCATTGTACAGCTGTGAGTGCCATTTCCCCTGGCATCAATAAATTTCCCTGGAGTGTAGCTTCAGTCCGCCAGTGGCGTTTGTCATAAAGTTGCTGTGTTTTCAAATGTGACTATCCTGTCTATAAAAATAGTCGATCTCAGAACTTTGCTATTAACAATATTATAAGGATAAAAAGATCATCAGGGATTGGAAACCTTGGTACAGTGGTGCCTCGCTTGACGATAACCCGTTCCGTTGAAATCGCTGTTAAGCAAAACACAGGACTGGAAACCATGGTACAGTGGTGCCTTGCTTAACGACGATAATCCATTCTGTTGAAATCACTGTTAAGCGTAATCGTCGTCAAGCGAATTTAAAAAAACCATTGAAATGCATTGAAAACCGTTCAGTGCATTCCAATGGGCTAAATACCTGCTCGTTTTGCGAAGATCCTCCATAGGGAGGACATTTTCCGGTGCCTGTAAAGCGAAGAATCCATCCTAAAGCACAGCGGGGAGCCATTTTGCACAGCGGGCGGCCATTTTAGAGCCGTCGATCAACTGTTTTAGAATCGTCGTCCAGCGAAAAATTGGTTTCCAAAGTAGGGAACCGATCGTCAAGCAAATTTTCCCTATCTAAACATCATAAAGCGGATTAGTCATTTAATGAGGTAATCGTTAAGCGCAGCACCACTGTATTATAATCACCAACAACATGTGTTGTCAACTCAATTCTGACTTATGGTGACCTTTTTAGAGTTTTCCAAGTAGAGAATACTCAGAAGTGATTTACCTTTCCCTTCTTACAGGGGTGCCCTGGGAGCTTTCTAAGGCCACATAGGCTGGCTCTACTCACAGGAAGCACAGTGTGGAATCAAACTCCAAACTTCTGGCTCCACGGCCAGATACCTAAACCACCGAACTACCCTCAGTCTACTTTGTGAATATTAACTTTAGTATACGTGGTGAAAAATTCCTTGTGTATGTTCCCAGCTGAAAAAAATGAAATGCTGACTATGAGGAAACAGGCCTTATGGCACCACTGATTTCAAGCAGTTTACGTCAAAACATTACAGAATTATTAATTTTTTTACAACTCCCGGAATCTTCTAGCTCACATGGCCAGCTTTGGAGAATCTGGGAGTTACCATACAGAAAAGTAACTTTGCCATACTGTGTTCAATAAGTAAAGGATGCTGACACTCTAGTGGGTATGGCTAGATAAAATTAAATTCAGAAGACATCCGTGGGTATTTTGTGGTCCAAGCATGGTAAGAATGCACCTTGGTTGCTACGTTTACACTCAGTTGATTGTTTAGTACCAGCAGGTAAAACATTTTTAAGCAACTCTGTACTGATTTCTAGATATTTTGTACAGTATTTATAAATAAGAAATGGACCTCAACAGATGGGAAACTTTGACATCTGAGTGTTCAGCCTGGAGGCAGGCGGTGCATCTTGGACTCTCCCAATTTGAAGAGACCCTTATCCAGCAGGCCGAGACAAAGAGGCAGTCCCAAAACCAGCCAAATCAGGGAGCTGGACAGGGGACCGATTGTATTTGTCTTCAGTGCAGAAGGAATTGTCACTCTCGAATTGGCCTTCTCAGCCACACTAGACGCTGTTCCAAATCCTCTATTCAGAGCACATTACCATAGTCTCCTGAGACTGAAGGATGCTTAAGCTAATCTAAATAAGAAATGACCATAATTTTATGCAAGGAAGCTTCATAGGTACATTGCTCCCAAGACGTTTTATCATTTTTTTTCCTGCTCACTCCCCTTCAGAAAAATCATTCATAGAAAACCAACTGGGATCCAGGTTGGTTTTAATTTGTTTTAATAACTAAGTATAAATATTCAAACCCTCAGCCTTTGATGTGTGGGTGAATTAGACTGCCTGTAATCATGGTTCATAAGCTGTGGCTTTCTTTCATACGAATAAAGGACAAAACATGATTTATGTGCGCATGTGTATGTAACATGTTTATCTTGTTTTCATGAAAACAGAGTGCGTCTAAATAGACCTCAAAGAGTAGAGGTAATATAAGGGGAGTGAGACCTGGCTCTCCTCCTTCCTCGTTTATGTTGCTATGCCTCTCTCCATTTAGGTTAGTAGTTGGTAAATCCTGGGGGGTCCTGGAACCATGTTTCTAGCCCCAGACCCATCTCTCCACTTTTAAATGTGTGTTTTCCCACCGATCATAGAATAATTGTGAGCTTTTTAAAGGGATGTCGCTGTTCTCAGTAGCATTAATGGTAAGTCATTCTAGCTTTGTGTTTTCTCAAGCTCGTCTGCTTTTCTTTTTGAAAGGTAATTCTGATGTCTGCAACCATCAACTGCCAAGAGTTTGCCAAGTATTTTGCCATTCCGGTTCGCAACAGACTCTGTCCAGCCTATGTGTTCGAAGTGGAAGGCAAGCCCCATGCAATTGAAGAATACTACCTTGATGACCTGAAGCCTGTCCTCAGTCATATCAGGGTAGGAACGACATTCAGCTTTGGTTCTGTGCCGTCACTGGGTAACTGAAATATTTGGGGCATTGTGAGGGGTGAGCAGGAACGTAAGAATTCCTAATTGTGCCTTCTTTCCTCTATCTGGCAGCTGTATAGTTAGGGTGGAGAACATGGGCCCCATGCCATGCTTTTGGACTGAAGCACCCACAATCCCCCTACATTACCTGCTGTGGCTACAGCTGAGGAGCGTTGCAGTCCAACTGCGTGGGAAGGGCTATAGATTCCTGAGCCCTGACAATAAATGCTGCAGTAGATGTGCGAAAATAGCTCCACTGGGTCTCTTTACTCCTTTTGTATACTGAGGTCAAGCTACGTAGACATTACGCATGTGTGCCTGTTTTAGAATCCTGATGGCTGCTGCGTATGTACAGAAGCAGCTCTGGGAGAGTGCACAGATCAGAAGTGGCAGTGGCGTGTACATGTATGTTTTAATCCTTTGTAACATCTGTAGGAGGGAAAGCAACAGCAGAAGCAACAGCAAGCGGTGGGCAGAAGTGGGTATTCATACACAGACACAGAGGCATTCTCTTTCACAAGCGCACATAAATGTGGGCATCCAGCCTTCTCTCTCTCTCTCTCTCTCACACACACACACACACACACACACACACACTCACACTCACACTCACAAAAACACACATATCCTCTGCTTTTAATAAGGAGGTAGGTGGCATTAGGATGATGACTGGCAGTAGCCCGAGCCTTAGGTGGTCACCACTGCAGTTGTCTGAATGGACAAGCTACTGTTGGTACCTTTCAGTGGAAGAATTCTCTCCCTCCATCATTTTAGCTTCAGAGGAGGAATTCTCGTTTTTCAAGACTCAAGGTGCAAAAATGCATCTATACATGGGTATTTGGGAGGGTTCAAGTGTAACCTCAGGCTGGTTGGACACAAATACAGGGTGCTCAGTTTTTTGAAAAAAAGAATTAGGATTTATTGGAACATCAAACAAAGAAGTATCAACATTAAACTTGTCAGTGTTCTTTTCTCTCGTCGCCAATGGGTCAAACGAGGGTGTCCACAAATCTTGTAGAAAGGGGTTATAACTGGGATCATCCCAGGGTCCCTTGGTGAAGGGGTTAGTCTCACCCTGTTCTCTGCTGTCAATGTCCACTTCAATCAAGGGTAATGTCTTCTCGTCTCTTCCCTCCTGGTCAAAGGGGTCGACTCCCTCGGCCTAGGGGTCCCAAGGTCCTGTAAATACCTCCTCGAGCGAGCCTTCTCCAGACGCCATGCTTGCCTTTCACGTTCTTCCCTTTCCACCGCTTCCTTCTCTTCTCTTAAACGTCTCTGCCACTCTTTGGCTTCAGATTCCCCCCAATAGGACGGCTTGGGAGGTAAACCCCTTCTTCATCTATAATCAGCCTCTTCCCGAGGCACTCTCACTTTCTCACATCTCCCTGTCCAGGGATCCTCGACCTATATCAATTCCCAGCCCCCGGGTATGGCGTCTCATTCCCCTTTTATATCCCCATGTCCCGCCTCTACCAACGGTTTCTCCCTCTCCCTTGTTCCCGCCTTTTCTATTCTTGTCTGAGTGGCCACCGAGAGTCTCACCAAACCCCGTTCCAGTTCAGGGGTGTCTAGTCCCTGGTGTGCCTGACCACGACACAGGGAGTTGTAGTCTCCGTTTGAGTCTCCTTTTCCTTCTTAAGGGAGGACGACACTCCGGCGAGCGCTTCTATAACCTCGCCTCGGGTCTCTCAGTATTGCATTTGGCCATAAGTTAGTTCATGGTAGCGTCAAACCAAGGGTTACTTCATTCTGCGTCCCCCAACAAATGAGACAGGACAAAATGCAAAAACCACAGGCAGGCAATATCCTCACTTAAATCCAGCTACGATCCAACACTACCTGTGTAATGTAATCCAGCTGATGCACGCCCTCTACCAAGGAATTGTTTAATGGATTCATACTTGATTCATAGGAAAAAAGAGGGCAGAGGGAGGTAGGAAATGAGAAAATTAATTGGTTGTTTGCTGTAGGCAGACGTATCTGTTAATAAGCACAGTGACAATCAAAAGGAGAATTGTAGACTCCTGCAGCCATTGGAGTCCTGATACATTAAAGAGAACAAAAAATAACTACCCTGTTACAACAATGTCCTGTCAGCATTCATATATGTGTCAGTACCAATGGATAGCGTGGGGAAGCAAGATTATATAACATCTGATGACTGTTAAGAGATTTGTGGTGATAGGTGGCAATGAAAACGAGAACCAGAAAGTTGAAGGAAGAGTGTCTGTCTACCAGGGCAGATCTGTCAGCTCTGTGATCGTTTCTGTGACAGGTCACTTTGCCATATCTTTTAACCCTGACATTCATGAATTGAAGTCGGACTGCTCTGAATTTTTGACCTGCAAGACTGCCTAGCTTTAATCCTCCAGACTAATGTTTGTTTCTTGCTGTTGTACTCCCTCTTCCTTCCTTCCTTCCTTCCT